TAATACTGAAGCTACATAAAAGACTTCTGAGTTTTTTGTATTTGTTTATAAAAATGACAAAGCACAGAAAGAGGTTGGCTGGATGAAGTTAATTTTGGAGATCATTAGCAGGCAGATTCACATTCTCCTACAACCTGGACATCTGACAGTCAGGGAATTTCACAGAAATAAAGTATATATTGCTTGTGTAATAGTGTAAAACAGCTAATTTTTAGATCTATGAACTCTAATATACCAAAATCCTCAGCTGACGTGAATCAGTGAAGTTGTACTGGTTTTTTGTGAGATTAAACAGACACAGTGTCTCAAAGGCTATTTTGGGTATAACTTTTGGAATAATCTTTTGGAATAATGTATGTACCTTTATGAATAACATGGTTCTCAAAATGTGTATACTTTGGTCAGTGTTTGGTAGCTGGGATAGTTTGAGTGCCGAGTGTTTCATTCAATTGGGAAAATATTTTCTATGACCAGTGTTAATATATGTACTTCTTTGCTGGATTTACTTTTGTTTCTATTAAAAACTATAAAGGCTATTGACTTATACTGTGAGTCTTTTCCACCATATACACATTGCAATCTCTCGGACACGTATTTGAGGTAGGAATAATATTTTTAATAAGTAAATTCATAAAACCACATAATGAAATTCGTATTACAGGCAAAAATTTGAGAAACAGTACATGGGCTATAAGCCAGGCCACTACTTGAATATTTTTTCTGCTAAGAAAGTTGGCTTTAGCATGTGTGATTTCCCAAGCCTCAGTGACAAAATGACAGACATTTATAACTCTTAATTATTCATAAACCACTTTAATTATACTTAGAAAGTGCATTTATTAGAAAATAATTAAAGAATAACATTACTACATTTTATGAACAAATTATTCAAATAAAAGGAGCTTTTGAAATTCTATTTCAAATTGGATGACCACATATATGTATGTAATTGTGTATTACATTTTAAGGATCTTTTTTTATGATTATTTTTTCAGTACCATGTAAGAGAAATTACAGTTCCCTTCAGTATATCATAATTAATCAGATCTAACATGATAACATTTGAAAAGTGGTCAAAAAGAAAAAAAATATGTGACGATTATATAAGGATGCACTGTACACTGATACAGATTGTTCATGATAGTCTCTTTATTATGGATGATTCATATAGCTGTCTTCTGAAACAAATTAGAAGAAAGAGAAGTAAAATCATTGCTACATATTGTGTCTATTGAAATAACATATGATTTTTCATATCTATGCACTTGCACTAGCCTAGTGGTAGAAAAAAAGGTGCAAAGAGAAAATGTGCACAGCTACTCCAAATGAAACTACATTGTTGCATACAGTTACAGTTTAAATACAATAACTACCCTGTTTGATATTAATATATTAATTAAGATTTTCTTTGCTGGTAAATATTTTATAATGCCAAGCTTCTTTGTAAATGTGAAGTTTGCGATGTAGATGACCACCAATAAACATATCTATCTGTAAGGGTTCAAGGTGTGCTGATAAGATCATATTCGGATTGTCAACGTAATCAAGATTGTGATATAGGAAAGGAATTCTTGCAGGATTAGGTAGCGTTCAATAAGGCTGTAAGTGCATTGCATACAGGGACGGGGACAGAGGTGTTTCACTGCTCCTTCACAGAGGTCCTTTGGCTTCACTGGGGCTCAGGTCAGAAATGGGTGGGAAGTAGGAAAGGGATGGGCATTTTCAGATGCCACAGAGTAAGACTCGCATTTTAGGAATAAATCTATCCAGAGCTGATGACTGCTGTAGGACAAGTACACTAGCTAAACCACCCAGATAGAACTCTTAATAATGCAGTTGTGCTATACTAACCTTTCATACAGGAGAAAACTTAATGACTTGGAATATAAAAGCATACCATGGTTCATCCACTTTCACAGAAGCAAGTAATCTCAGATGTTTCAAACTGCATCTCCTTAGAATGGACAGAAATCATTATTATTTTCACCAGTCATATTTATGTTGACCGTAAAGAATCAGATCTTGTGAGGGGCTGACTTACATTGTCATGCTCATTGTCAGTTAGCAGCTGGCAAGGCTGCTGATTGTCTTGCATGAATCATTTTGACTCTTTTGAAGTAATAGACTGGAATTTAAAGTAACCATTAGTGCAGAGTTAAGCATCATTCATTATTCTTCTACTTTTGCAGTGAGTAGTTTTGCAATCCTTACCTAAAACATACTTCAGAATGGCAGTAAATGCAAAAGTAATTTCAAGAGAGCAGCAGATATTATCCAAAGTTTTCATCCATAGTAATTTAAACAAAATTATCAACTCTCCCCCCAAAGAAGAACAAGAGATAAATTTCTTAAAATTATTGCTATATTTAGCAGCTCATAACATCACCAACATGCACATTTCTGTGATTTAGATTTAATACAAATATTTCAAAATACAGATCTGAAAAATGCTCTCCATTTTTATTACAGGCCTATTCAATAAAATATATACCTTTGGTATAATATATTCTGTTGTATATAGCAAACCATTTTCATTGTCATCAAAAATATATTTTAGCACTTGCGAATTACAGGGGACTTTAATTCCTCAGAAAACCCACATATTGGATACAGTATCTTGAACCAGCTGATAAATATGTAGACATGACACACATGTACATTTTCTGTGAAGGGTCTTTGAGAATTCTAAACTTACTAATGATTAAGCTACTTTAACTGTCTTTATGCTACTTTCATAGATATATAATAAGACATTATTTTCATTGAAAATATGCTTTAAATAAGGCAATTTTTGTAAGAATTTAAATAGCATTTTTTCTTGCATTAAAAACTCATTTACTTCTAAGGTGGTCATGCCTCCCTTGCTATTCTAAAATCACTACACACAAAGCAATAAAATTACAGAGCTAAGCATCCTCCAAGGATGAAATCACAGTGAAGAAAGCTGTGATATACTTTATGCTGTAAATCATGTTGTATCATATCATATGATGATACCACAATAGAAGAGAGCTGGTTATTTACACAGTGGTTCTGACTGGAAAATGTAAACAAAGATGAGTCAAGCACCTCAGCAATGCATTGACTTGCTAGTTCATATCCAAGGTTTTACAATGTTGTTCATTTAGTTCCATTGATAACTTGACATGAGGCACCTGTTTTTAAGGTAAGAAACTGGTCAGATGATGAAGTGCCAGTGGGGCTTTCAAGTAAATATGAATCAATTCCCTTTAGTTCACTAGTAAACCAAGGGTATGCCAATCTATGATCCAAGAAAGATGGAATGCTGTTAGGTTTATATGCAGTTTAAGGAGCTCTGTGACAGAATGACAGTTGTTTTCTGAGACATATAAGCCCAAGAAAATCTCCAGTAAACTAAATAATACTTTAAAATAACTGTTTAAGTAAAAGTCACATTTTAACACAGATTAACAAAAGTCTCATGGCTATTCAGAATCTTTTTGTCCCACTGACATTGTTGGAATTGGCTTGGAAAAGCTCAAGTGTATTTGAACACCACTGTAGGTATAAACAATTGAGCATTAAAAGGTATGACAGTTGGAGCTTCTTTCCAGAACTAAATGCTCTTTCTTTTTAAGGTCAATTTGAAGGTGAATCCTATTGTTGTGAATTACTTTTTTCTGCCAGAGGACTTCATTATAAAGAGAGATTCATTGTTGCAGGAGACAGCCTGTCTTGCTATTCTTCCTCACTTCACACTGTACTTCTCCTTACTGAAGAGGTCCCTGCTGTCTGTGGAAAGTCCTGAGAATCACATGTTCCTCTTTGTACCACTGTTATAAGTAGTATCTTCTCTTTTCTGTTATTTAAAGGTGTCTAATTCCTCTACGTTATTACACTATGTTCATAATTTTGGTAAACACCTAATTATTAATTTGAAAATTTTATCTGTGTCAGATTAAAAAATAACTGCTAGTCTCAAGTTGTTCTCAGGAGATCAGTTTCAGAAAGATGTTAAAAACTCATCCTGTATACATGTCTTATTTCCCAGCATTTCATGGGCTTAAGGGTCCACTAACCAGCCGAAACTGCCATACCCAGCTATCACTCCTATTAAATACATCAATCTTCTCACAGAGATCTAGAACTTCTGTCTTGTACACAAGTGAGATATAGCAGTTCTTCCTCACTTATGTTTCTAGAAGGTGTTTCCCCAGAAACTCCTCTGGGGCACTTCCTGATTTCATGAGTTACCGCCTCTTCAGAAATAATGGTAGTTTAAATTTCTCTTCCCAGCCCTCCTACATCTCTTTTTCATGCTGAAATGGCTTGAGCTGATGAATCATGGCTCTTTTCCTTCTTTGCTGTTTATCCTCCTGCCCTTGAAGCTTTGAAGATAATCATTCAGGCATGTTTCTCCTCCTAAAAGCTATTTTAAAATTGAGAAATCAATTGAGAATGTCATTCCCAGGAGGGCTGGTGAGGTTTAATATCCAAAAAATTATATTAGTGTCCATGTTAATAGCAAAGAAATATAGATAAAGGTACTTTTTTAAAATCCTAATGAATTTTCAGTTACCTTGATTTTTCACTTCACATCCCATAATATATTTCATAAAGGTCCAATTTAATTTTTCTTAAAAGAAATTTTCTGAGATTTTAGAATCAGGACTGTAACATGGACAGAAAGAGCACGTGGAAAGTGGCAGGAATAGTTTTATGATTTGTTTTACTGAACCAGGCAATATGGATACTTCTGATTCAATCTCTTTCTAGGTGCTTATCTCCATCTAAGAAAAAAAAGTAGTCATTTATAAATTTTTATTCCCTCAAGGATATCATTATGTCATTATACAAGGGATATACCATTGTATAATAGGATCTGTATGTCAAGGCTCTGTAATGAGCTTCCAAATGTCATGCGAGGAATTGGATCAAAGTGCTTTCAGTGTAGAACGTATGTTTCACTATAACATTTAACAGGAGGTCTAATAAAATGGACACTTTTTTTGGATGCTGTTGAGTGATAATAGTAAGATTCCCATTTTCAGACAGAGTCCACCTTCACTTGATTGTTGTTTGTAATCAGTGGAGAAGGTTTGCTTCTCATTCTGTCTCCTGCATCATTAGAACTATCTTGGAAAAAAACTTTTGCTGTACAAAAACTGACGATAATTCTCTTGTATTCTCTTCTGAAGTTCTGGTTCAGGAGTCCATATACTATAGCATTAAGGCAGCTGTTGAAATATGCCATGTAATAACTAGACACAAACAACCACTCTGGAATCCTAGGGATTACAGTTTTTGGGTTGACAGCCACTGCAATGCCTATAAAGTTCAAAGGAGCCCAGCAGACTGCAAACAGTACAAATACCACAAACATGGTTACAAAGTTTCTGAAGTCATGCGGTTTCAGCCTAGGGTTGTTATCCGGTTTAACCCTTCTCCTTACCTGGATAACGAGGATCCATATTCGCAAGTAACAGAACGTAACTACGGCTATGGGAAGCAGGAAGTGGAAAAACACAACTGCTATAGTGTATGCTGAGCTCACAGACTGTGCAAATGTGCAGGAGTAAATCCTGGGGTCGTACTGTAGCGATCCCACAAACAGGTTGGGCACGATAGCAACAAATGTGAGGACCCATATGAGAACAATATAGCACAATGAATTCCTGTCGCTGTACAGCTTGTCATATTTGAGGCTGTGGCAGATATAGCAGTACCGATTGATAGCGATGCCTGTAATATTGAAGATTGATCCAATGACACTTAGGCCCATCAAGAAGCCACTAATCTGGCAGTGTAGGTATCCCAGTTTCCATCCGTTGTGAAACACAGATGTGAGGACCAGTGGATAAGGGTAGATAGCTACTATCAAGTCTGCAACTGCCAGGCTTACAACAAACACATTTCCTGTAAAATAAATATAAAAAGGCAAGTATTAGTTTTTCTTTTGCTCTTTTCTGTCATTTCTGCTCTTGTTATATTAATGAGCAGCCTCAGTGGAACACTTTAAATTTAATTAGTTTCTACTTCCTAGCTCAAAATTTATTGTCATATATCAGAAATAAGAGACTCATTTTAAAAAGGTAGTTTAACTTAAAGATGAACCTTTTGAAAGTAAACCGTCTGTAAGTGTATCTACCATGACCTATTATTTTTATCATGCCATTTATTCAGATTCTTTGAATCACACAGACTTAGAATTCATATCAAATCAAAATATTCATAACTTTAAGGCTTGCTTTGGTTTCAAATAGTATCTCTTGAAAAATCAGCAAAAATAATATTTCCAATAAATTTCCAAACTCAAATTTACCTTCTATATTTAACTTCCTTTCATTATATTAACTAGCCCTTAATTTGTTCCGTCCTGAAATGAAAATCTCTTTTCTCCCATTTATATTTCAAACTTTCATGACTTTAGTATGACTTTTACATTATTCTCTTTAAATCTGCTGGCAAGTACTTCAATAATCTTAACTTCTAAGAGTCTTGTTGAACACAGACTCAGTTGTCTTTCCTAAAGACATACTCTTCAGTAAAAAAAGAGATGCTGGGCAGTGGCCTAGACAGTTCCCAGACAGTACTGATGCCCCATTTTTCTCTGCCTCCAAACTGGAAAATTAAGCAATGGAACATTTTGCTGACTCATTTTTAAACACAGGCAGATGATATTCTTCAAAGACAATAGAATCCTTCATGTTTTGCATCCATTTTTTGAGAAGAGATTCTATTTTCTTTTTTTAGTTGCTTAAATGATAACCCATTGGAATACCTCCCAACCATTCTAATTTCTAAGAAGAGACTCACAAGAAACATTGATGTCATTTTTATTAATTTCTTTAAAATAACTATTACATGTAAATCTCTAGTCTTCATATTCATGTCCATAAGTACAGAAAGCTTTCAATTTTATCTTTATATGTGCGTTTGTAGGTATGGAAATGCATATATACATAACATTTGATATTCTACTTGTAGTTCTGAGATTATTCATGAAAGATGAAATAAAAGCTTCTATTGCAACCTGTAATAAAATATATTATTAGTTTCAGATGATGTACAATTTCAGTGCTAATCCAAGATGGGCTTGGTGAATTGTTCTTTGCATTTATTCTGGGCATACAAAATATAAACAGATAATAGCAGGTTAGTAGGAACAGTAAAAGTATCTATGGACCAATAGGGGGTGTTTTAGCTGCTAAAATTCTCAAAAGCACTTTTTTAATATATTATTTCAAATATCTTCAAATGCATAGTCCCCTACCAATCTCAGGCTTTAAATGTCCAGTTAGAAATGTTCAATCTGCAAATACTGTCAGAGAAAAACAGAAATTCTATTTCTCTGGATGCTACCTACACTGTTGTGTTTAAATTTTGATACATGCACAAAGTACCACATTTGATATTTATACTAATGGCACCTGGAACAAATGGCCTTCATTAAAATACTGCTGCACTAGTTTTTCTTGATTTAGTATCTGGATTTATAAATAACTTTCTTGTGATGGTGTCTGTTTTGTCTTTGACTGGGGATTCACTGCCAGACTGAAATATGCTTATCCTGAAGCCTTTGGCAGAATTTCAGGTGATTTCAGCACAGACATCAGAGCTTCTTTAAGCAGAAGATGACACAGGAAAAAAGAAAAAAAAAGCACTGCTTTCAGAATTTATCTTTGACATAGTGGCAACTGATACAAGAACAAGAGACTGTATGGAACCAAGAGCTCTTTGTTTATCTGATGAATCAAGAAGTGGAAAGTGAAAAGGTGCTGTTGGCAGGTTTTTCCCCCTGTCCAGAATATCGCAGGATTGATGAAAAGGTAACATATAAACCCCAGTTACTTATTAAAATGCAATATTTGAAAGAATTCTATTTATATAGAATTTGCTTATTAACTTTTGCTTAGCTGGAGAGTGCCCGTCCTAAACTTTTTTTCTCTGCCATCCTCTAAAACTTCTGCTTCTGCTCACCATTATTATAGCTAACATTGCCATTATTTACCCACTTTAGCCAAATGATAAGGACAAAATTAAAAGGGTTTTTTTCCCTTTAAAAGGTGTTGTATTGAAAGGTGACAGATAGTATACATTTCTCTGAATAGTTCTAGCTTTGGAAACAAACGAGTTTAGGAAGAGTAGGCACTCTGTCTCTGAATCTGACAAATTTCAGGCTTCCATAAACTCATGCACTATGGTTGTTCCAGGTTTTTTCAGCTGCTGTAGAATGACAAACTGAAAATCTTGGAAACACAAGCTGTTTCATGTGAAAATTGGAGGCCAGCAGGAAGATAGGAGGATATCATAGTATTTTATCTTAAAGGAAAAAAAAAAGAAAGAAATCATGAGTTTGGAAATCAAGCCCCAAGCTGCCAGCTCATGGATAGCATGTCAGCTGAGTGAGTAAAGCGTTGGGGGTGGAAACCGCTTGGAAACCAGATACCTGTTTGCAGACAGGACTTTTAAGTTGCCTTTCAGGAAGGATTATTTCAAAACTTGAGTTCAGATAAATTTTTGTTATGAGCATGGAAATTGTTTTGCTAAGACAGAAAATTTAAGTAAAAAAAAATTGGCATTAATATGATTGTTGAATATTTTGGGGTTCATTGTTTCAGACCCTGAAGCTGGATCTGAAATGAAGTTGAGCTTTCATATGTTATATAATAAGCAATTTAAAAACATGATCCTAGCTTTAGGTACCACAATAACTGTAAAATATTGCTAATTTAGAAAATTCCCATATTATAATATCATATTGTGAAATTGAACTCATGTTTGTAGCATAATTGGTATTTTAGAGGTGAGTATCATAAAAAATGTATATACTAAAGGGCTAATTTTTATCTTCAGAGTTAGGTTTGACTAGAACGCTATAAATGAAACCTGAAGCTCTATAATGAACCCTTCAAAAAGTCCACAAAATCAAAATCTTGAATAACTCTTCCTAGAAGAAAAAATATTCATTCTCTTTAGAGAGTAAGATCACGTAACTGTGAAAAAATGTGATTTGTGTACCTAAAGAATATATTACTATGCATTAACACCAGCTGGCTGAACTGAGAAGGCAGGGGTTGAATTTCTTGACTTTGACATAAGCCAAATAATCTTTAATAAATTTAAGCAAATGTTGTGCAGTGGATGTATGTGGGAAGAAAGACAATCTACTGGTAACCAGCTTGAGCAGGTTATGTTTTTTGATGCTGTCTAAAGCAATGTTCCACTGAACATTTTCACCACCCTTACTGAAAAAGAAGCCTTTCTGCTCAGCAAACACATAGCAGCATCAGATCTACCTGCTGAATATAAAGCTGCATTAACGCAAAGAAAGCAAACAAGCGTTTTCCTAGACAATTTCACTCTTCCAAGAGCACAATACAACATTAACTGAGTGTAAAAATCGTGATCCTGATGGATTACAAGAAAAAATGCTTATGGGATTGCCAAGATATCAAAATGACTATAAGAGCCTCAATAAGAACTACATGATGTCGTTGTACCAGTAGCATCTTGTGTTTGCAGAACATATAAAAATTACTGTGTGGGTTGTTAATCCCTAGATTTAGTGCTAAGTATGCCCTGAATGATAATTAGAAGCTTCCAGAAATTTCTAGCAACTGAAATATTAATGTACAGGATATTAATGGAAGAAGATTAAAGTTACACAGATTAGGTGGTGCTGGATGCCTGCCCTAGAGTTAGAATGGAGGGCTGAACACTTTGCCGGCAGGTCAGAAATGACTTCTGGCAATTTTAGGAGAACTGAGGGTGATGTGGTCTACAGAGCAATTGATCCTCAAGTGTTAGGACTGTGAAGTACTCTTACTCTTCTAAAATATTTAGTTTGGGGAAAATAACCTACTGTAAAAAAAGGAAACAGCTTATGTACAGCAAAAACCAACAGTGTTTTAAAGCATTAGGGGGATTCCAGCTAAAATATTTGGTACTCAGAAAATCTGAGTGAATTTTAGAAAATATATTGCTGGCATCATCGGTATGGCTACTTTTTCTTCTTCTTTTCACAAGTATTTCTATACCTTTTAATACTGGTTGCCAAGTCACTATTCTATTTACTTTTGTCAAAATTTTTCCTAGATAAATGATGCTTTGGCTTCTTACAACAAATGCTTTCCACAAGCCCTCATGTTTTCATCCTGTAGGTGTATTTTGAAACACATACCACCACGTTTCCATGAGTTCTTCAGGTTGGACCAATTTTAGGTGAGGATTTTAGTCTTTATGCCAGCTGGAGGTGCTTTATCTTTTAGGTAAGACTAAACAGTACATGCAGCAGTCATTGAAGTCACATAAAAGGGTTTTGTTTCAGTGGCCACTGTCTCAGACCTCTGATGTTTACTTGCTAAGTATATCTTTAATAAATATATCTTTAAGAGGATAGTATAATTGGTCCAACACTGTTAATTTTCAGAAGATCAAACTTAGTTTCTAATGATCAGATTCATGTCATTCTTATTTACTGTCTTTTCACCACTTGTAAGATATTGCCAGATACATTAACAGTCATTTCCAATTGTTTCATAACTAGCCTTAATTAAAGGGATGCTTTCCTATAAATTTTGGTCATGTTTTGTAGACATTAAACAGTATTTAAATATCATACAAGCATCATATCATACAAACATCGTACACGTTTGTTATGCACAAATTTTTTACACATCTAATGACACAAACAATTTTATTTACATATTTAAACACTGGTGTCTGATAATTCTAATACTTCTACCAATTTTCCTCAAGGATAGCTTACAGATTTTTTTGGCATTATGAAATCTTTCTGATTAATCTAGCCCTTGCTCAGGATGTTAATTTGAGAGTTTATGCTCCTAGCTAAAAGCAAGACTTTGACAGACACTCACCAGTGAATGCCTGCAGCATCAGAGACTTTAAATGTG